CGAAGGAAGGCAACAGCACCTTGTATCGGAAGATTTCTGGTGATGACGTGCTTGCCATATGCCTCAAACATGAAAATCGATACCAATGGAAATTTCTAGATGGTAAGATTAATGTTTATAAGGTTACTATATTACTCTATTTATAAAACGTATGCAAAAAATGGATAAAATTATGTAAAACGGAAATTATCCGGGCTGCGTGTTTATGTTCAGTTCCGGAAGAAAGGGAAACGAAATCAGCGAGGTGAAGAAGGAAGTTAATTAAGTAACATACCTTATTATTAATATTGCATTTAAAACGGTTAAAAGATATTTTTATAAAGCCGATATACGTTCATATTGCAGTGGAAAGCGGCGGTATAGTGTGGGATAGGAAGGGTTGAATCAATGATTAATGAAACGTAATATTATAAAAAACTTGTTGCTGCATGACCAAGAAAAAGAATATGAGCTTCTTGAACACTGATTTACCAATTGAAATAATATTCATTATATCGATGCATGAGGGTTATGAAGATAGTGATAATGAACATTTCTAAGCCTCAGTTTGACAAGTAGAACTGAAGCAAGGTATTTTAGCTGCTGGATTTGCAACTACACTTTTTAAATTAGTTTTTTCTTAAGTTATTACGTATATCTCGTGGGGGGAAGCGTGAGGCACAACAAAAGTTTCTTTATTCTCCTATACTCGTTCGTCTCAAAAATTTCAAAAGATGGCTTCTGATATGCAGGATAGTCTCTGTGACTATATAGTAAGATCCACCAATTTCCGACTTATATGTTCTAAAAAAATCTTCTTCGAAGAGAATAATCTCAAAGTAATCTGAGTAGGCTGAGGCAAATAATAACGGAAATAGTACATCTACAAGATATTTCTAATCCGATACTAGATATCTCAATTAGAAATATTTGGACTTCACATGCAACGAATAAACGAAAAAGGAGTTGAAAAATGTGGCATGATATTGACTTTACCGTGACAGCGAATATATGTTCTAACCGGCTATAAATAAAATCTAAGAGTTCGTCAGCCGCCAGATATTCTCATGAACCGAGTTCGAAACCACTTGACGAAATTTGACACCTTAGCCTGCCGTGTGCAATGACTATCGCTTTCTTAATTGAAATCTAATAACGGTCACTGATTAATTCAGCAAACATGGATAGGTAAAAACGAAATATATCAATGTTGGCTTTTCGGGCATTTACCGAGCACGTTTCTGACATTTCACTTCCGGTTCCATTACTAATTATTGTGAATTATGCTGACCTAGCATAAACTTGCTTGCATTACGTCATGGCGTGTAAAACGTAAAACGTAGAGGAATAATGGATATTAATTGCCTACGGCAGTAATAAATCTTAAACCTTGTAAACCAAAGTCGCACTACAGTAATAGCGAGGTTCAGATTTAATAGCGAGGTCTAGATTTGACTTCCACCGCTGCCTCTCACTTATCTATTGCGCCCGTGGTTTTTTAAATCAGTGGTTAAATCTGATAGATGTTTTAACTGAGTTTGAACTGTTTGGTATGCATACGCAATCGAGTCTCTATATTCCCTAATACAGGCAGTTCAACAATTGGCCAAAAATTCAATCCTGCGAAGGATTGCTCAGAAATAGTGGACAACCTTCCAGACGAAAAAGATGGTTTCTTTTGGATAAAACACGCTGAAGGAAATATTTCAAAGGTAAACAGACTATTTTTAATTATTGCCTGTTACAAGAGATGTCACCACAATTTTTTATGTTTGCATGCATTTTACTGATCACTTAAATGACTTTGTGTCTTCGATTAAGGATTTTACTAGCTTTCATCATGGATAATTCATTTGATTAACCATGCTTTCATAAGCACGCTAGACTTTCATGTATGGCACATTCATGTATATTTGCAATTCCCGTTCCAATTTGCAAATAACCGTTTGGCCGGTGTAACAAACTATTCTTGGCCCTAGTAGCTGCATGGTCCTCAAGTTTGCACATTCAGCCAAATAGTTGATTGGTTCAGTCTTTCTCACTACCCAATCGCGAAATTTACTTGTCAATCTGCAGGGGTATTGTGACACCCACACAGACGGTGGTGGCTATTTGCTGATTGGAATGAAACAAAGTCCAGTCATATGGAGCGTACAATCCAATGAAAATCCAGTTCATCCATTTGAAAATCCTCATTGGTCTAGCAAATTTGGTGACGTCGAAGTCCAAGATTTTGCAGTTCAAATATCAACTTCGAAGAAATTCGAAAGTACGAAAGCACATTGGTGAGTGCAAGGTTGTACTACCGACACTGAGGAAGTATACTATTTATGGACACAATCGCACAACACCGAACAGCACAGGACAGCACAGGACAGCACAGGACAGCACAGCACAGGACAGCACAGCACAGCACAACGCATATATAGCACAGCAAAACACACCGTAGCATACCATATCAATCGATAGTTTCTATTAGTTTATACCACGCTAAAGTTTTTACCCCGCTATGTACAATCTTTTCCGACCATACATTCGTGTAAAGGTCATACAGATTACAAAAACGTCGTGCCCTTGGTAATCTGTTCGGTATTGGAAGTGGAGGCTGTACTGACCATCATTCGGGGATTGGAGATGTAAAATATGTTAAAGATATCCTTACCGAAACCATCGTCAACACAAAATTCAATTGTTCTCAATTTGGACCCAACGTTATGAATGGCTGGGTAAATATCACAATAAACTAATTCTATATCTAATATTTTATGAGAAGTTTAGGAAAATTATTTGTCTGACGTTAGGGAAGCCTTGAAAAAGACTATTATAGAATATACTTAGATGTTGTGAGTTATAATGGACAATCCACTACGATCAACTTTCACAAACCTAGAGTTTCACAGCAATCCAGATTGCAGTCATCATTCTCTTCAGTAAATCATTTATTAAATACACAGTTTAAGTGGGAATTTTGGTAAATTCAGCAATATAATGAGTATCAGCAAAACAATTCTGGAGTTTAGAAATTAAAATACGCCCAATTAAGAAAGCTGATCTTAGAAAAACCACCAGTCAGAAACTTTCATCTTGACAGAACCGATTTTCATTTCCTCCATTTCTCATATGACCGTATTCTAATTCCGTCAATTTGTTTTGCAGCAAAATATGAATAAATGTTTGAAAAACAATTGCCCGAATGGTTACGCATTTACTGAAAATAATCCTCCATATCAGCTGGATATGCACGGATCTTTCAGGTAAACAGCCAATTATAACTATAAATTATGCCGTTCGTCGCATATTTCACTACAAAAGTCTTGCTATTTCTATTTCTCTACTTGGATTTCGCATTACGTTTTGCTTCTTTCCGCGTAGAGAATACATGTACATGCAGGTTAAAAAAATTGAAAAAAACATTTCTGTTTAAAGGCAAAATTGCTCTCAGGCCAAAGGGCTTCAAATTGACATGAGGAACGTATAATAGTTCCAATGGCGAATGAAGCAAAATTTCATATTTTTAGTTACAGCGCAAGCTCCGAGTTTTCAGGTGTGACGCACGATTCTACTGCTTTTGTTGGTTGCGACTCTCTCCAGGTATGTATGTTAACTGTTATGCAAACTACACTACTTTTAGTTTAGAATATTTACGAGGTAAAATCTTTACTTGATGTGAAAAGTTCAGGATTCAGGTAAAAGATAAATACATAAATGATAAATTTAATAGTTTCCGTATAGTTTGTCGTCAATATACAAGCGTAGGTTTGGGCTACGTTTATCACTTCTTTGTAGATTATGCAAATTTAGTGCACAGGTAGTGCGTAGGTGCTGATGTAAAATATTACCCTGTATTAACTCGTTTAAATACTTTTGCATCGTTCTCTTTTAGTGTTGTGCATGTTTTGGTCCTAAAGGAGGTAGAGATCATTATTGCGCCAAAAAATGCAACGGAAGGAATGGAGGAGTTGTTCTAAGAGATCAAATTCAGGTCTGGTATTGGATCAGAACACGAACGCCCACACGCAAGTGGAGAAGATGTATGGAGTTCAAAATGAAGACACAAGCGGGGAAACTGGCAACATATCATGTCGATAGACGTACTGGTGTTGCTCAAAAGGTACTGCAGCATGTATCCTACATGAGGTGTTTACGTATATCAAAAAGCAGTTTTTCTATATCTGCATGATGTTTCAAAAGGAAACAGATAGAGTTTTATGCACTTAGATATTTTGAATGCGATTGCATTAAGAAATTGCATTATGAAAAGTGATTGTTAGAAAGCTAAAGAACCCTTCCTTCTTGCTTTATAAAAGTAAAATCGTTGAAGTCTATACCGGGACTGAAATCCATTGGTATATGCAATTGTCAGGCCTATATCTGAATATCTGAAAGATCCGCGGTATTCAACAATACGTGCCGGCATTCAACAATACGCCCCAATCGTCCCCTTACTATATAGAGGTTTGCAACTCCCTAGCACAAGAAAATGCTGACATTTTGGGCAGCAATCCTATTTGTTGACGGATGCTCTAGACACCGACGTAAATCATGGCCTTTCAATTAATTTCAAATAACTAGGCCATATAAACGTTTTTAAAAATCCGAAATTTTTTTCTTCTCAGGGCACATGTGGAAAGCAATTTGACGCACTATTGAATGAAGGTGTAAGTATTAAAAAAATTATTTTACATACAAATTATGAAGTTGAAAAAATCTGCCTGGTTGAATTCTGATAAGCCGCCATACATGTTGAATTTTTTACAGACAATTTTGGTAAAAGATAAGGAAAGTCTTAACAATCTTCCACCAGTGCCAGGGATGATATCATTTCGTAAGGACAACGAAAAACTTTACGTGAACAAAGAAGATGGATGGGATGAGATAGGTAGTGAGGAAGCGGTAGGTCTGATTAGGATGCTTTGCAATTAGCTCCTTAAAGCTCATCAATTCTGTTTCCCTTATCCAGCGTATTGCAACAGATCAGGAGCACCCTATTTCTATGGCCGATCAATTCAGCGTCCCCTTATTTAGTTTGTAATCCATTATTTTGAATTTTGTAGACCGAAAATTTAACAGCAAAAATGAACCAGCAAGATGCTCGTGTTCGAAACCTGATTAAAAATCTAAATACAAGTCTGCAAAGTCTCCATAGCAAAAACTCCCAACAAGAATCTGAGGCCGAACGCCTGGAGGCGAACATAACCACAAAGTTTAAGAGATTCAAAAGCGAGCTTTCCCAACAAAATAGCCGAGTCGAAAGCCTGGTATTACATCTAAATACAAGCCTGCGAAGTCTCGATAGCAAATATTCCCAACAAGACTCTCAAGCTAAACGTTTACAGACAAGATTAAGCGAGAAAAATTCAGAGCAAGATGCACGAGTTCAAAATCTCGAGAGAAATATAAATTTGAAGTGGCAAACTATGGAGAGAAAGTTGAAAAATATTGAAAAAAAAATGACAGGTAGGACCAGGTTTTCAATTTCATTAATAAATCATTGAGAAATCGGAGAAAATTATTGATAATTTAACGGTTGAGGTTTTTTCCCACATTGGTTGAATTTTTATCAAATCGAAAATTCACTTGTTCATGCACTGAAAATTTTCAAAATTCCTGAAGTAACGCAAAGAATTTTAACTCTCGAGTTATTAACGCCTAAGTAAAATTTATTCGTTAGATTAAATCAATTTTAAAAACTACTGACCAATAGTTGCCTACTGCAATAGTAGTGGTATCTTGCTCTACTTATCTTTCATACTCAAATATATTTGTAAATATTTGAATCGATCATTATAATAGTATAATTATACCGTTGACCATTATATTTTCCAGTAACCTTGCGAACATCATGTAAAGACATTCTGGCAGAAAATAAATTCACAGCCTCAGGAGTCTATTGGATTGAGCCTGTAGCGAAGAAACAACTTCAAGTGTACTGTGACATGAGAACCGATGGTGGAGGCTGGACCTTAGTTTATAGCTACACATTTACCAACTACACTAGTTTTCAATCAAGGCAAAATGCCATAACCCCCCGTCCAAACTGGCCTGAGAATAGTGCCAATACTCCAATCTCAACCACTCCTCCGCTGAGCGAGTCACCGCATAGCCTCGGGGCCGTAGACTGGAGACTTTGGAAGAAAATTGGTCGAGAGATAATGATTAAGTCAAATATCAATGATTGGATTGTATGCGAACCATATGGTGGGAGTATAGTCATAAAGAAAGAAGGTTCGATCAGATGCCAGAATATTAAAAATGTGGCCACCGCCTGTCGTGGTTATGTTCCAAATAAAATTCTCTGGCGCCCTGAAGGGCCGGCTCTCCTCACTTCCTCTTCATACTATTATTGTTTCGATGGAGACACACGCAGAAACTGGCCAACACATGACCCCTGCGGGCAATCAGGCCCAAAACAAAAGCAAGGTGTCTCCAATCCGGGTGGACAGATATATATTCGATAGAAGCCCAACTTTCGAGTACCTACAGTCACTTGATTTGTTTTTGCTGTAACACATGCACTTGATAGAACAGACAAATATAATCGTGTCGTATGGATTAAATATTATTATAGGGAAAGTAACTTTATTACAGATTCGCTATTTGCTTGCATTTTTAGGCAGAGCTAATGAAAATGCCTAAATTTTTATTTCTTCATGTAAAATGGTAAATAATGTACCTTTATCTGGAAGTGGCCAAAATTTATGCATTCTGATTGGGTTACTGAAAATATGAATAAACTTGCTGATTGGTCTACAACGAAATTCCCCCCTTGTTCTCCATGGACAGCCCCAAAGGAATTCTTTTTAAGTCAAAGCGAAACATGAACTTCCCGATGAATAAATATTGGAGGTGCGGCCGAGACCAGACAAATTTGGCGACGTTTTCTAACATTACGTGAGCTCTATGAGTTCGAAATTGTACAACCAACATCCCATTATTCTTTTATTGTTAGCACGATAAAATTGTATTTTTTTTTAAAAAAAACTTTCGTTGATATCTTTTAGAACGAAATTTTGAATGCATTGTATTCTCTTGTCAAATTACAGCCCGGTCAGACTTTTATCTATTCTTTTTATTTTGTACAGTATTTGGCAGTATTTTTCTTTATCTTTCTGGTTTTAGTTTATCCGGGCCAGTTTGGTTTGTACGTGAATTACTTTCCGCCATTTTGTTTATTTTGGCGAAAATTAATAATCATGCATTATACTTTTAATTGGTAACATTAAAATGAAATAACGGTACCCCTCTCGACCAATCAGCATCTAGTAATTTCATCACACTAATTTTAAGTAGGACAATAATAAAAATAACTGCAAATCACTATGTTAAAACGATAGTTACTTCTTCGCTTCAGCACTACCACGCCTATTGCAGATTATTAAACTATTCATGCAAGAGAATTTAAGGTTGACATATACCGGACTGAATTAATGCTTGTTATTTGAGTGTCATATCTTCTTTAACTGTTTTATAGAGGAGAATCTTTTCTTTTTCTCCAATGAGCAGGCAACCAGTGATAAAGTAAAGCATTTGGAAAATAAATTTAATAGAGACTAAACGGGTAGCAATGTTATTCGACATCTTCCGCACAATCATAACACGAAAACAGCTATCATATTTTGTGGAAAGGTTGAACAAGTCTATGAACGCCATGACTTTTCTCGTGACTTACCTGTTTGCTCAGAAGCGAAGGAAGGCAACAGCACCTTGTATCGGAAGACTTCTGGTGATGACATGCCTGCCTCAAACACGAAGATCGATACCAATGGAAATTTCTAGATGGTAAGATTAATAATTATAAGAATGGTATTTACAAAAAACACTCAAAATAGGCAATTAGATTAATGAACGAAGGGGTTTTGGCTGCTGGGCAGTAGTATAGCCTGCAAGGAAAGGCGTGGAAATGCCCAGAAATTGCTAGGATTTGAGAAGATATTGTTTCTCAGGGACCATAGAGCGTTTTTCGTATTGCTGGGGCTCGGAACCGCGCACCTGAAAGGGGAAAATTTTGAAATTTACTTAGGCCTATGAAATGGCCGCAAATGCCTCTCAATTTGAGAATTATTGGGAAATAGTAGATACTTTGTAAATTTTCCAGCATGTTTGGTGCTCATATACAAACATTAAACAATATAACCATGCTTTGCTTATGATTTCAAATATTTTGAAATGGATAACCACGCTGTTTTAATGGTCAAATGCTTGTTCTATATGTAAAGTTTCCAACATGCTTCGTGCTCATATACAAACATTAAACAATATAACCAGGCTTTGGTTATGATGTCAAATTTTTTGAAATCGATAACCATGCACGCTGTTTTAATGATCAAATGCTTAGTCTTATGTAAAGTTTCCAGCATGTTTGGCGCTCATATACAAACATTAAACAATATAACCAGGCTTTGGTTATGATGTCAAATTTTTTGAAATGGATAACCACGCTGTTTTAATGGTCAAATGCTTGTCCTATGTAAAGTTTCCAGCATGTTTGGCGCTCATATACAAACATTAAACAATATAACCATGCTTTGGTTATGATGTCAAATATTTTGAAATGAATAACCACGCTGTTTAATGGTCAAATGCTTGTCCAATGTAAAGTTTCCAGCATGTTTGGCGCTCATATACAAACATTAAACAATATAACCATGCTTTGGTTATGATGTCAAATATTTTGAAATGGATAACCACGCTGTTTTAATGGTCAAATGCTTGTTCTATATGTAAAGTTTCCAGCATGCTTCGTGCTCATATACAAACATTAAACAATATAATCATGCTTTGGTTATGAAGTCAAATATTTTGAAATGGATAACCACGCTGTTTCAATGGTCAAATGCTTTTCCTATGTAAAGTTGCAAGCATGTTTGGCGCTCATATACAAACATTAAACAATATAACCATGCTTTGGTTATGATGTCAAATATTTTGACATTGATAACCACGCTGTTTTAATGGGCAAATGCTTTTCCTATGTAAAGTTGCAAGCATGTTTCGTGCTCATATACAAACATTAAACAATATAACCATGCTTTGGTTATGAAGTCAAATATTTTGACATGGATAACCACGCTGTTTTAATGGTCAAGTGCTTGTCGTTTCTGTCTCTGTTTTTTTTTTATTTTGGCTAAACATATGTACTGAACGTAACTAATTTCAATCCATCTGTAAACAAGGCGGATTTATTACGACAGATATCTTTGGAAATTAGAATACTCATTTCTTTGAATTGGTTATTAAAATATACGTTGAATAACTAAAAGTTAAAATAGCATTCAAGATAAGATACATTGCATATACTTGTGAGCAAAAAATACAAATTGCTAAAAAGATTGCTTGTAAATTTGAGCGAACTAAAAAATATTCGAAATTAAAGACTAATTACGGAAAAATTATTGGTGGGGCTAAAGCCCAGCGAGCCACCCTGCTCCGCGGTCTCTGTTTCTATGAAATCCAACTTCGTTTCCGGGATCGCGATATCTATACGAATTTTTTTGTATGTAAATCCTCATATTCCATTCAAATCCCGAAAAATCTTTTTTTTCATATGAAAAAAAAATCAAATGAATCCAGAGTAAGGTAAAGCTTAAATCATCATGTAAAAAATAAAGTATCATTTGGCAATATCATCATTTGGACTTCAAAAGAAATGAGAAATTGGGTGTTGAAAAATGTGACTTGATCTTGACTTGGTAGTGTTAGATCCACAGTTATTATATGCTCAGTTATACATAAAATCTTAGAGCTCGTAGTCGAATACCTCTATGTTCCGAATTCGAAAAAACATTTATAGTGAAATTTGACTCCACGGCATGTATGCATGTGCATCGCTCGTATAAAACGGCTATTGCTTTCTTAATTCCAAACCAAAAAGACAATTTATAAAATCCCTAATATTACAGCAATATTACAGCATATTACCAATGATATAGCAGTTAATATAATTTTGTTTATCGGAAATTAACATAATCAGGTCTTGGAGTGAAACTGCAACCACCCTCGGTTTCGTGACTAATTGTGAATTATGCTGATCTAGCCAAACTCGTCCGCGTGACGTCATGTCTCGTATAACAAGAGAACTCAAAAAAACTCCGTAGAATGTTGAATATTGACTGCCAACGGCATGTTAAATTATGCAGAGATTATTAGCAGTCCAGTGGTACCATGCACCACCATTATTTATATAATAACGTTAAGAATTTAAGCAATTTCATTTGTCGATAGCCGTGATCTATAAGAGGACAGACGAACGGTATGACGTCACAGAATATTTTAGGATATCAGAAAGTTACTCTAATTAAAAAATGGGTCATGATATACTCAGATAATGATCTATTACCAATGCAAAAACGAGACACGAACACGACTAACACAATGTGAACTAATAATTACTACTACCAGCGAGTGCCCATTGGTTGTCGTAGTGCATTTTAACCTAAATTTTTAGTGGTTTCTATAATAATATCATACTGGAATACAGGCTACTAACTGATATTTGCACCTATTTTCTTCGCAGTGACAAAAATAGTGACAATTAACTTCTTTCTGCATTTTTACTAGACTAAGTCTTTAGTATTATGTTTCTCAGATGTAGTTTCGGTTACTTAGGAGTAAGTTCATTATTATTATTATAAATGTAGCTATAGGATCAACTTATTTCATTATGAATTTCCGAAAAGCAATTTCAAATCTATGAATATTACGACTATGCAGTTAGCTATAATGTTTTTTGACTAACCCTAAATTCGTCACAGCACAAGAATCGATTAATGGCCTGAAATAAAGAAACTGTCGATTCTGACGAGGAAATAATCTGAATTCCAAACGAGAGACATGTAAAAAAATTTAAATAATGTCGAACTGTTCGACATTACGTAACGAAGCACAACGCGCTAGGGTAAATTTTGGAAGAACATTTTGGTTTTTCAAAATCCTTGTTATGCAGGTTTTTGTATATAAGAGCAAATTTAAATGGAAAAGGAAATTCGTGAATGAACTTTGAGAGAAACTGAGACTGCATGATGAGTCTGGGTTGAAATTCATTGTTTATTAATTTCTGTAATCCCGGATATGCTTTAAGTAATCTTCCAGTTCTAGGATACAATTAAATATGGACGCTACTGATGTATATTAAAGACACAATGCGATAAACAATTGATTTGTACGAAATTGAACGATTGAATACCACAGAAAATGGAGTTAAAATAAATAAATTAATGAAACAATAAAAGGTAAGAACTTAATTTCAAGTTTTTATTGAAAAAATATTCGATATTCATTTGAAGTTCGTAATGTAGTGACCACAATGTAGAATAAACAAAATTCCGTCGTAGAATCATAGAGTACGCGTCGGAATCACACAAGACGCGTTGGCCGCGCTGGTCACAAAGCCTTTCGAACGCGTCTTCATTAGCCGCGTTGCGAATGGTAAACTCTCTACTGTTTTCAACGTCTCGTTCGAGCACTTTTACTGTGTGTTTCTGGATACTGGGAAGAAAGTATTCGAGGTTCTATATGTGTGTGAATAGAGGCTCGAGTAATTCGTTTATTTATTTGGCTACGACATCGTAAATTCGCCCAATATTCGGGCTACCGCACCGTAGCAGCCACTGAAAGTTTACTGGAGAGCCATATAGCAGTGACTAAGAGTACGACTACGAGTACAAGGTTTGTTATTCTCGCGCGTTGTTTGCTTACTCGCCAAAACTCGTAGTCGTCACGCTTTTGAGTTGAAGTTTGTTGGTAAATTTCGTACTCGAAAGCCCAACGACTGCAAGTTTCGTCAGATGGCATAAACAAAAACACCGTCCGAGTTTGGCGCAAAATAGACGACTCTTGTACTCGTAGTCACTGCTAAAACTCCCTACTCCCTAGTAATAGAACGAATTAGGTCGTGAAATCAATGCCAATGTCATACTCATATCAACCTCCCGCTAAGCCTTTGATTGATTTTGTAACCATGCCATTAATTTGTCAATATTGCACTCCTATTCGTTCTATTAGTATAGGTAATAGTATGATTTCGATTTTCGAGTGCAATTATGGTTAACAAGCACGAGTGAGTTTTTAAAGGCTGCAAAATAGCGCGAGTCCGAAGGACGTGCGATATTTGCAGTCTTTAAAAACTTACGAGTGCATGTTTATCTGTAATTGCACGAGAAATATACTACTATGTATTAATGATATGCAAGGAAATTTTCGAGACAGTAAATTAATAACTTCATCCATTATACGTACTTGAACATTTTTTTTCGAATTTAATTAGTTTAAACAATTTATACAAGAAATGAAAAACATTCAAAATTCAAATTTTAACAGTTCGTCTGTCCATTGCCATGATTAAACGTGGAGCAGTAATTGATTGGTTAATTTCACTTTAGCTAATTTCATTTCACATATATTTGTAAAAGGATTTTGCACTGTTGTTACAGAAATTTGCACTGTTACACATTTTTGGACTACAGTTTGGGATTAACTGCACTGAAATCAACCAATCAGGGTCGAAAAACATTTCCTTGTAAATTATTACCATGATAATAAATGGGCCAACTATTTTTAGTTTTGGGGCTTCCTAAAATGCAAGGGGTAAGATATTTTGCCAGGTGTATTCGGATGTATATCAAACCATTTTTTAATAGCATGCAGTTTTGAGAACACTGGTTAAAATTTCAATCAATGGGCGTTTTACACTGTTGTATGCAAATTGCTCAAAAAAGAAAGTTCAAAGCTTTATTTTCGATTTCATTGATGTATATAGTGGCGAATTACTGCCAAGTTCACTTCATTAGTCACATGCAGACTTTCGCATATATAACAGCTATAAAGGATTAAAATGGCAATTGTGGCATGTTTTTTTGGATCAAAATCTGTGCGTATGTTTGTCATGGTTTTCTTTGTGGTATCTGCGTGTAAGGTACAGATGATAATACGGTATTGCTCTATATAGTTACTGTTGATATTCTTATATAGGTAACAGATAAAGATTTTCTACTAAAACTCACTTTCCGCTGTTAATATTAAAGGAAATAGAGACCAAATTAAAACAAAATTATCAATTCAAGCAATTAATAAGATAATCATGCAGGAACCAAAAGCAACCCTGAGACTTTGAGATTTATCAATTATGATGAGCTGGGTGGGTGCGTGCCTATATGAACAAGCTTTGCTATTGGTTGATGATAACATGCAATAAAATACAATGAACTGCAGAAATTGATTTCTAAAAAAACGAATCATAAACACTGTTCACTAATGTTACAAAAAGCCAATCACAAAACTCGTTCATATTAGGTAGATGCTTACTTGATGAGCAACGCAAGTGTTCATCATAAAATCTTGCAAACTCATAATCAAAGGATTACGTTAATATAAACTTATAGAAAATGATGTGCACAGTAAAGACGACATATTGATCATTTCATTTTATGTAATTAATAAAAGATTGGGAAAGCTCATGAACACCATGCATTTACTCGTCATCTAACTGCTTGCTCGAAAGCAAAAGAAGGAAACCGAACCTTGTATCGGAAGGTTTCCGGTGACGACGGAGTCGCGATCTGTCTGAAAAGCAGTGGTCAATATCAATGGAAATTCATGGATGGTAAGAGAATGTAGCAGTCTCTTAATTTATCGAGAAGTTGTTCAACATATTAAGATCTCTTTGATCTCTTCCCAATAAATCTGAGAACATTCTTATTGAATCCACCTCTTGTAAAATGAATAGTCGTAAATATTCGGTCGCGATGTTTTTTCATTAGCTCTTTATTTACCCAATTGAATAATGTTATTTTCTGCAAATATAACCAAGTATCGAATGGTCATACTATATAGAGTTTTTTGCGGGCCTCTTTGCTTGACCTGTCATTCAATAATTTATAATCATGCGATTGATGCGAATGCCATGTGGAAATTGGAATAAGTAGCTATCGATATACTAGGAGTAATTTTGACAGTTTACTGCAATTAAGCGAGCTGCCATGGCAAACCCAATTTGGCAATATTTTCCGACATCACGAGAATCCCTAATTGTGCGATTAACATCACAAACTGGAAGTATATGTAGTGTTAATTTCATGCAATTTTGTTGACCATCGCTGTTTGATAAAAAAATTCGAAACTATATATTACATGTACCACGTGTTGCCTACCCACATGGTTTTCGATATCACATTCTTAAGGTTGGATGTTGATACAGCAAAAACATGTCTGCATGCATTCTCTAAACTGTCAATATTCTACTCAACATAGGCACTTCAACACTCGGAGAGAGGTTCGATCCCGCAAAAGATTGCTCAGATATAGTGGACAATCTCCCCGATGCGAAAGACGGATTTTTTTGGATAAAACGTGCAGAGGGACAGGTTTCGAAGGTAAAATTACTAATACTATCGTTTAAAAGAATCCTTTCGTCAGTTTTAGCTGCAAGTTAGCCGCGCGTTAATTATTAAATGACCAACTCACTCCACGATCCATGCGTACTTAACCATTAATCCGTATATAGGGGTATTGTGACACGCATACCGACGACGGAGGTTATTTGCTGATCGGTATGAAAGATAGTCCAGTCACCTGGAACGTATCAACAAATCAGAGTCCAGTCCATCCAACCCGATATCCTCATTGGTCCAGCAATTTTGGTGACGTAAAGGTACAAGATTTTGCTATTCAGATTTCAACCACAAAGAATTTCGAAGACACGAAAGCTCATTGGTAAGTGAAGTAACTTGAACCGGTTATAAAGCGATTTCTTAGAGTATTTTTAAATGTGCATTTTTGACGTTTAACCTGCACTAAAAAAATTTATCAACAGACGAGTAACAAATGAGCACTTAATTGGTGATTTTTAAACTAAAGAAGCTCCGTGGAATGAACATTTACGAGCTAAAATAGGACCTTGTGTATACTTATTATGTGAGATGCAATGTTGCATGTATGTCAAGACAAAGTCAATGTGGGATTTTTTGCTTTCTTTAAAAAATCCATGGTCTCGACTAAACTGTCTAAACATTCTCGCTTTTATGGTTTTGACTCCGCGCAATCAAATTTCGGAACAGGAAGAATAAGATGAATAAGTCGAACAATAGGAATCGCGAATGTCGTTCTTTTGCGCTCTTTGCTGCTTTATGAATTATTCAAAATTTAGGGCTTTGTAATTGGCTTTGCTTAAAGATGTACACAAGCAAGGATGCCAATTAGTTTCAAACGAAATTTCTCCTTGTTCTGTTCATCACTATACTGATCTGGTAGGAAATAAGAAGCTTCTTGTGTCTATACATCGTGCGAAAATCACCCGATAACAACACATGTATGCTATTAAAAATTTCATATTGTTCATTTCATTATGTTAAGGTCGTACAGATTGAAGGAGAGTCGTCCTCTTGGTAATCTGTTTGGAATTGGAAGTGGTGGTTGCACCGATTTTCATTCCGGGATTGGAAACGTCTCTTATGTCAAAGATATTCTCACAGATACTGTTGTCACAAAGAGATTCAATTGTTCAAAATTTGGAACGGATGTTATTTTTGGTTGGGTAAGCGTAGTGGCTTATTACATAAAACTATTGTGATTAAGGTCGCTTTTTGGCGATTTTTCCCTTTTTTTCAGTATAAGCAGGATAAACTCGACATATTTTGGGTGTATATCTAGATTAATTTACAAAATAAAGTATTACTGATTTATTTAATAGCAAAGGATGAATTACTGTTTAAGAAATCAATGTCCAAATGGTTATGCATATATAAAGGAATTAGTGAATTTCAAACTTGATAGTCATGGATCTTTCAGGTATCCTCGAATATATAGAAAATTGAAATTATGTCTTTTATAAATACAGCGGATTCCGGTTGACTGCAAAATAACAAGCGTTCGCAACGCATGTTGGGTCTTTTAGAATGTGACGTTTGAATTTTTAAGTGTCACACGGTTTTGGCGCACGTAAACATATTCTAAACGCTTATGTTTACGCTTGCATGTAAACATATTCTAAACGCTTGCAGTATTTTAAAATGTAGAAAGTCATACGCAAGGTCGAACCTACAGTCATGGGAAAGCACTTTCTTTTAACACAAGCACTTTTGTTAAAGCACTTTCTTTCAACAACACTGCAACTATGTCAAAGCACAAAAAGACGGCTCCGCCCATTGCTTGGAAACGGTGCATTTGACATTTCAAATGTCATATATTAAACGACCCAAGATGCGTTGTGAACACTTGTTGTTTTGCAGTCAAACGGAATCCGCTGTAGATATTTGATATTTCACTGTGTACCTTGTTGTTTGGTTTTTCTTATGGTATTTAATAAAAACTTATTTTTTCGGCTCCACAAAACATAATGTTTCCTTCGGTCGCATTAACTAAGTGCTGAAATCCTTCGCTACAATGCGCTAGTTATTGTTAATATCGCGCGCTCATTTCCTTCGTAAGCCCCGTACAGACGGAAAGTTTTCCTTGACAAGTTTTCTTAACCAGTTCGCTTGCTCGTGCGTATGGCAATATATGCGTTTCTGGTTGATTTGATTATCTTCCTACTGAGTCTTTCATATTTTGATAATAAATCTCTTTGGTAAGCATAGCTGCATGACGTACTTAATCACGGATATATATTCTATTATCAGTTACAGTGCAAGTTCAGAGTTTTCAGGCATTACCCACCATTCTACAGCCTTCGTTGGTTGCGACTCTCACAAGGTTTGTTTCAATGCGCAAATATGTAGCATAGCATCGCTAATTTGAAAGTACTAACTAATCTTTGCGAGAAAAATGCACATGGAGAATAGAAATTTATTATAATTGATTATTTATTTTAATGAAACGCTTATTCGAATTAAATACCATGCAAATATCTTTTAGTGTTGCGCGTGCTTTGGTCCCAAAGGTGGAAGGGGTCATTATTGCGGCAGGAAATGTGAAGTTATAAATGAAGGAACGCTTCTGACAGGTCAGGTTTACGTCTGGTATTGGATTAGAACACGAATGCCCAAACGGTTATGGAAAAGATGTATGGAGTTCAAGAAAAAGACGCCAGCTGGAAAATATGAAACGTATCATATTGACAGAATTACCAATACTGCCCGTAAGGTATTGTGCCAGGAAAATAATTATACCTAATTGGTATGCATGCCGGAGAAATCGCTATATCCTGTTGAGTTGAATATAATAGAAATATTACTTTTGTCTATCTCGATCACTGCAGAGAAGCTCATTTGTTGATGTTATATATGACAACTTTACTCGGGCATGAACGTAAATTTTTTTAGCCTTACCAAGCGATTTGCAGGAATTTTAAATTCTTTTACACAGGGAAAATGTTCTGGGCACTTTGGCACATTCTTGAATGAAGGTGTAAGTGAATAATATACTTTACTCTGACTATATACTTTATATCTCACTATACCTCTATATAAAAATAACATCGAAAAGAGTAGGCTATGGCAAATAACCTGTTCTCATGTTTACAACGCAGTCAGGGGCGTAGGAAGCATCCCTGCCCCCCCCGATCCCTTCTCTACAGAACGTAGTAAATTTAGATCTCATCCAACGCACGAGAACGCATTTTTAGAATAAATACCATTAATTTCTCTGCCTATCCTGTAATGCAGCTGAAAAATGTGCGATGTTCAGTTCACTTTCTTGTCTATATTTATTTTCGAATAAAAATTATATAGGGTATCGACTCATTTGAGCCAATTCATATTAAATATAAGCTTGGGGCTGGTTAAGACCTATGTTTTGATGTAAGGGCATTCATTGCTTCATGCACCATTGACAGACCCTTTTGGTGAATGACAGAGAAAGCCTGAAAAATCTCCCGGCAATACCAGGGCTGATCTCATTTCGAAAAGACAACAAAAAACTCTATGTGAACAAAGAAAATGAATGGAGTGAAATTGGAGATGCGAAAGTGGTGAGTCATGGTGATTGCATGTATAGGGTGTTCCAAGAAGTGTGCAGCTTTAACGCCCCCCAAATCGGCTAGAAAAAACACCATTTTTGAGACCCAAAACAACTTTCCTACGTAATAAATAATAAAAAGGCTAGCATCTTAAATTTCATTGCTATATTTGTCCCAGAGAACATAAAAGACTCAGGTATGCTTAATGCTTTTGGAAAACTCGCGGGCATCCTACGTTAGAGTACTTTCTCAAAGGATATAGGCATTAGGTTTTCTCGTGTGAACACGTAAAATCGGTTTATCAGTTTATCGTTTTGTTTTTACACCGGTGGCCTGAACCGGACGAATTCCAGCACATTACAAAGTTTACCCCATTACGTGTGATCGTAGCTTTTTGATAGCAATAAAGAGTTGCACGAGGAAATGAATATAATCATCTTGACGTGTGGCTAGAGTAAGTAGAGTTGTTTAAAACAAGAGAGCGAATGCCCTGCTAGGTGCAACCACTGGTCTGACAATACACTGGATGTATAGCAACCAACACCTTCCAATATCGCACCAAGAATAAGATCATAAGATCACGCAAAGCCGAGAATAAAAAATTAGCAAGTATCACCATCCTGGCAGTGTCGTAGTCATTCAAACAATAGCATGTATGTGTTCTTGTTTGGTTTCATATTTTACATTTCTAGACCGAGAATTTAACAGCTCAAGTTAGGGATCTTCAAAAGAAATTTGAAAACAAAAATTTCTTGCAAGAAATAAAAACGAAGAAACTGGAGGCTAGGCTACGAACTCTTGACGCCAAGCTAAAAAAGATTGAAAATGAGACAGAAACGTATAGTATGTTCCGGGAATACCGTAATTACTCGAATAAACGCCTCCCTCGAATAAACGTCTCCCTCGAATTAACGCCGCAGGGACAAGCAAAAATATCATTAAACGCCGCCCTCAAATAAACGCCGCAACCTTTTCGTCATTACGGCGTTTATTCGAAGCATTTATTTGTAACCACAGTTCAATTTTCATATATAATTATATAAATAGAAAAGACACATAACTTTTATACTTAGTTTTTTTGGGGATTGATTGTATTGGTTAAATTGGCGTTTGAATTACACAATAAATTCAGAGTTGTTACGAGTTTGCAATAAACGCCTCCCTTGAATAAACGCCACCCTCGAATAAACGCCGCATCTTAATTGCCAAAAATTTAATAAACGCCGCGGCGTTTATTCGAATAATTACGGTAATTGTATAAGGCAAATTTGTCATTACAATTGTGAAGGAGTTGTAATGTTACAAAATGCCCAATTGAAGAATTGATTACTTGTCCATTATGAAATGAAGCTCCAAAAACATTATATATTTTTTAGTGTTTTATGGTTCTAAATTCAACCCAGCAAAGAGCTGCAGATACATCCTAAAAAGAAATAATAACGCACTTACAGGAGTTTATTGGATACAGCTTACGCCTGTGAAATTGTTTCAAGTTTACTGTGACATGGAAACTAACGGGGGCGGTTGGACGTTGGTTTATAGCTACACATTTACAAATTACGGAGCTTTCACATCAGGTAGCAATGCTGTAACACCCCGTCCAAGTTGGCCAGCTAGTAGGGCAAATGTTCCAATTTCTACGACTCCTCCTCTTAACGAGTCATCACGCGGGGCTGTAGACTGGAATCTTTGGAAAAGAATTGGGCAAGAAGTCATGGTTAAATCGAATATCAATGATTGGATCATTTGCAAACCAAACGTTGGAAGTTTGGTGATAAAGAAATCAGGATCAATGAATTGCCAAAATATAAAGAATGTGGCGACTGCTTGCAATGGTGTTGCACCAACAAGAGTTTGGTGGGGATCCGTCGGCCCAGACTTCAGTGGTCCCAATACTTATTATTGGTTTGATGGATACACTAGAAGCAACTGGCCTGTACACAGCCCATGTAGTGGCATAAACGGCGTTGACGATCACAAGAAAGGCGTTTCTAACCCTGGAGGACAAATCTATCTTCGTTAATGTTTGTTTTTTGCATTAAAAGGTACTTTGTATACTAAAATTATATAAAATTAGTAAAACATAGCTACAAAGGCCCTTTTGGATTGTTGTATTTTTAATTGTTCTTGTAAACATATTTACTGCAAGGTCCCAAAAGAGAAATGGAAAATAATACACTTTTATTGAGGACATAAATCGCCAATGGATTTCCATTGTAAACTATTGAACTAAAAAATCCATCGGGCAGAGCTTAATATATGAGTATTTACTCCCCCATTTATCGTTCTAGACACCCACTGAATCACTTAATGATTTCTATAAACAATCAGACAAAAAGCAGTTTTAGACGTCATCACTCATCCGGTTGTGTTTACAAGACAAATCTTAGATTTAAACGTTTTGTGTACACCGTCCGCATTTCAAGAAGACGCAGCCAGGCGCTACTTTAAAATTGCCTTGATAGAATTGTGCCGAGACATAAACCTAACGCCTTATACCTCCTTTAACTTATTCAATTAACATTAACAACATTTGTTGAAATTTTAATCAATGCGACTAAGGGGCTTTTCACATGAGCCGGTTACAGGGATTTAACGAAGCGACTTGGAGGTATTAAAATGAGTGAATAGGACGATTCTAGTGGTGATTGCTTTTTTTCAAAATGACTTTTTCAAAACCTCGAAGTCTATTTTACGCTTCGTTAAATCTCGGTCGGTAACCGGGCTTAAAGATCTCCCAGCAGAATTCCCCGGATCTCCCGCCGCTCAGGGATGAGAACGTAAAGCAACATAGTTTCCGAAAAGCATTCTCTGACAACATTTATTAGAACGATAAATTCGCAACACCTTATGGTAAATTCAACGGAAAGAAAATATTTCAAAAGTAAACGAAACAAAGATCTAGTATAATTACTGCTGCAACAGAGTTTTTTAAAAAGCAACCACAAACTAAAGAGACATGCGAATAAATTGCATAAAGAGAATTATATAGTCGTTGCATTTGTGATTACTGCGCGTCTCAGGCATTTTAAATCGATTCTGCAAAGGGATAGTACATAGTACATACTTCATGCAATATATCCGAAGAATACTCTTCCGTATCACCCTTTCGCCAGACATCCGCCTGTCCTTGCGCCACCAAATTATTGGGAGTTGATGCTACTGGCAAACGTTTATACAATTAGCGTGGATCGAGGCCGTCAAACGTAAGAAAATCATAAAGTATATTGAAGCAATTGAATACTGAAGCAATTGAACCTAATATTGATCTGACCAAATTATTCTGTAATTTCAATGCATGAGAACTAGACTTGTGTTTTGGAATGAAAAAAACAGGGAAGCTATTATAGGTTTTTACCATGCGCGCAATGGCGAAAAATTAAAAAAAAATTCCCGGCCCTGCGAATAAAACTTGTACTGCAAGCGATATATAGGTCAAAGTCGATTAACCTATGTATTGCTGATTTAACAAAGACGTAATCAAACAGAGCTGTGAGATCCACTCACTGTTAGCATAATAGGGTGAGCCAAATAATTACGGAAATAGCGAATCTATAAACGGATTATCTGACAAACTACATTGATAAAAAGAAATGGGAGTTGAATAATGTGTCATGATATTGAGTTAGCAGTGTTAGATCGATTACAGCGAATATATGCTCTGTTATAAATAAAATCGTAGAGCACGTCAGTCAAATATTCCCTTGATTCAATTTCGAAACCACTTGACGAAATTGACACCTTAGCGTGCATGTGCAATGGCTATCACTTTCTTAATTAAAAGCTGAAAACGGACGTTGATTGAATCAGAAAACATGGTTATGTAATTCTTCAAACATATCAGTTAATGTTGGTTTATCGGAAATTTTTATAACTACGTCTCTAAGAGTCAAAGAGCAAGGACCTTTTACTTCCGGTTCCGTGAATAATTGTGAATTATGCTGACCTAGCATAAACCACCCGCGTGACGTCATGTCTTGTAAAACGTAAGAACTCATTGGTATATTGGATATTAATTGCAAAAAGGTATTCGAGAAATAAGCAATTACTGGATGAGATACCAATGCATGCAAAGTGGGCAGAAAATATTTCGACATCTTTCTCATCAGATCTTCGTCCCGCGTTTCCACTTTTTGTGAATTTTTAGGCGGCATATCGCAGTTCTGTTTCGAGCTTCTGACATGTATAATGAAACCGCAAGATTAGATTTTGTATATACGCGCTTTAGCGGGGTTTAGGTAAAAAAATCACATGACTAAGCAAGTAGTGCAAACCCAGTCCAAGACAAACTATTGATATTCTCACGATGTATTTACACTGATCGACCCGGCTATCAGTTGCACTGTGGCGAAAGGTTTGTATTTAAATTCTTTAAAAGTTTGTACGCGTGGCTGTATGCATTATTACATTATTATAATTATTGGCATTTGCGCTGTAGACTATGCAATATCAATACACAGACTTTCTTCAAGATACGGGATCAGCGGAAAGGCTTTAAGATGGTTTGAATCATATCTTGATGAAAGGTCATTTACGGTATATGTCTGGATGGCCAATCTACTAAACGAACTATACGATCTAGTGTTCTACAGGGAAGTATTTTGGGACCGGTGCTTTTCTCACTCTATATTGCACCTATAGAAGATGTTATACGATAAATGGGCATTGGCTATCATCTCTACGCTGATGACACACTCTTATATATTACGTTTAAATCGACTGATACAAGTAAGTTGGGTGAGGCTAAATTTGAAATTGAACAATGTATCAGAAAAGTGAATAAATGGCTATCTGGGAATAAACTGAAATTGAATAGTGATAAAATAGAGATAATGTTGCTATCGTCTCGATATCGATAAGTTATTGATTTATCGCCAAAGGCAAAGAATATTGGAGTTATGATGGACTCGCACTTAAATATGGAAATGCAAGTAATAACTGTTTGCAAATCTGGATTCTACTACTTGAGAAAATTAGGTAAAATAAGGATATATCTTAGCCTTGAGTTTGCTAAAACTTTGGTACATGCCATGGTTACATCCATCCATCCATCCTATTGGATTTCAGCAATGCCTTATTGTATGAATTATCAAGCATACTCCTACAAAGAATTCAGAAAGTCCAAAATGCAGCTGCACGGATGGTAATCACAAGTATATCCTGTGATGTTTAAACTGCATTGGCTGCCGGTGAAACAAAGAATTGAATATAAGATACCAATTAATACTCACTTATAAAGCACTATCTGGTCTAGCACCATCATATATATTAACGATATGCTCCTAGACAAATAATTAGTAGTCCCAAAATATAATCTATAATTTTATGAAGGACGGTCCTTTTCTGTAGGTGCACCAATATTATGGAATAAGTTACCACAGACACTAAGACTGTCCGAGTCCGTAGTTAGTTTTAAAGCAGGATTAAAAACATATTTGTTTAGAACTATATATAATGATTTTATCTAACTATTGTAAATTAATCAAAAATGTAATTTATACTCTTTTTATTGTAAAGCACTTTTTGATATTTATAGAAGATGCATTATATAACATTTTAAATTATTATTATTATTATTCAGAAAAATAAGATAATGATAATTCATATTACTATATGTATCACATTACTATGCGCGTACAATCTTTCAAAATAACTACAGAAATGACCTGCAAGCGATCTTCAATATTTATTGAGAGTTTGGATTCGAAACAGCGCGACTCTTCTTTCAAATTCGACGAAATAAAAATATTTCAAAAGTTAAGGAAACAAGGAGTAGGCTAATATGCGGGTGCTGTTAACATAGCTTTCGAGCGCATCGACGGAAATACGAATTTTGAAATTTATCGACTTTTTTTGCATCACTGAAAGCATAAAAAGGGCCAATCGGTTTAAAATGCTGTAAATTAAAAAAAAATTGTCACCTTGCATAATTTTAATCAGAAGTTCTGAATTCAAGACTGATACAGCAAAAAGACGTAACAATATTGTGTAAAACTCAACTCCGCCTCCCTCTCTCTGAACAGCTGATTTCTGCCACCGACGATGTGAAAACGTTAATCTTTTGGTTTCGGAATCTTTCCCCGCATTGCCTAACTTATAGAGAAATTTAAGTGTCTTTCTATCTAGGAAAGGTTTACTTTGTTTCTTTTACATAGTTATAATGTAAAAATGCCCTTGTTAGTTCCGGGGCAGCGGCGAGTTGCTTCTATCATTTGATTTCTCCCTTTCTATGATGCAGACTTCTATATATATATATATATGGTCTTACTTGCCTCGAGGGGATAAAACCTTTTTGACTAAAAAAGGAAGAGACTGCTCTGGCTGTCGACAAAATATCGTTGTATTTGGTTTAAGAAACCGAAACCTTTACCCTGCATGTTATTTGACATCTTCGGCACAACCATAACACGAAAACAGACAGGTTCGTCTCATTTAGCAACAAACTCTTGGAGAGGAAACATTTTAAAATAAAAACTGAAATGGCAGCTTTTATGTCAGAATCAAATTACGTTCGTACCGTATCTCTTGTTCTTTTTATGCTTTCTGCACAATTCTCAGTTGGTGATGGAAAGGTATGATAAAAATTTAATTGAAATTTTTACAAAAAAATTAATAGAAAAATTTAAAAATCACGAGCTTTCGTGAATGTCATGGTTTTATCATAAGAATATGACACACTGCAAGTACAAATAAGCCGATTTGAATGAGCAATTTTTCCATAATTATGGAGCTGACTGCGTTGTACTTGTATTTTAATGGTCATTGAACTGCAAGTTGGTGTTATGTATTTTACGGAAGGAAATGAATCGAAAATTAATCTGACCCAAATGATCGGTCTGCCATTTGGACACAAGGAAAATAGGCTAGTGACTTGACTAGAAGACAAGAAATGTAGGGGAGATTTTGCACGCTTGCACTGTTCACGCAAAAAATTGTGGCCATGTGAATTATATATGACTTGTACTGCATGCGAAGTTGCTAATACCGTTATCAAATTATGTGAAATGGTTGAACAAGTGCACATAATCAAATCTACTTGTATTTTGTGGAAAGGTTGGACAAGCCAATGAGGGCTATGGCTTGTCTCGTGACTTACCTGTTTGCTCAGAAGTGAAGGAAGGGAACAGCACCTTGTATCGGAAGGTTTCTGGTGATGACGCAGTCGCCATATGCCTCAAACACGAAGATCGATACCAATGGGAATTCCTAGATGGTAATATTAATAATTATAAGAAAGATATATACAAAATTAATGTATAAAATATACATAAAAGAGTGAATTTCTAAAACTTAAAATAGGAAATAGATTAACCGAACGAAGGGATTTTGGCCGATGAACAGAAATTGCTAAGATTTTGTGTTGTTTCTATGAAATCAAACTTCGTTTCCGGGATCTATAGGAATGAATTTATATGTATATCCTCATATCCCATTCAAATCCTGAAAAATCGTTTTCAAATGAAAAAAAAATCAAATTCAGAGTAAGGTAAAACATGTAAAAAATAGAGTATCATTTGGCAATATTATCATTTGGACTTCAAAAGAAATGAGAAATTGGTAGTGTTAGATCCATCACAACGAATATATGCTCAGTTATAACTAAAAACTTAGAGCTCGTCAGTCGAATATTGCTATGTCTTTAATTTTTACGAATTTGATCAGTCATCGCTTGTTTATTTTGTCAGCCAATTACATTTTAGCACTTGTCTTAAGCTGGTCAATAGCATTTCTTCAATCCTATAGATCATGTACGCGTGATATTTGCAAAATTTTGACTTTAACAATTTTCCAAATGTTGGGAAAAACAAAATCGAACTGGTTTGCCTGTTTAATTTGGGAATTTCTTTGCCCCGACGGCTCGTGGCCACTTTTTGTTCTTATCACAAAATAGTGATGTCATACCGTGTATCTACATGGTGTCCCAAAATGTCCCCTCTATTGAAATCAAGCCTTTGTTAGAATCTGATTGCCTTAATATTATGATAAACCCAATTGAAAGCAAGACGCTTTATTTAAATGCCTCAACCTAATAACTTTGTTATTTACACACTACTGCGTTTATCATGCATTCAAATTCCAACAAAAGCTTAATTTCAATAGGCGGAGGGGGGGAAGAAATTTTTTGGGGACACTCTCTATAACTGAACAGACAACGGGTAAATAGTCTTAGTTGATTTATATGGAAGGTAAACGAATGAAGTTCTTAATTTAGCGCAAGTTTCGTAGTGATGACGATAGTGATACTCGATACAGCGAAAACTGTTCACTGCCTAGAAAGTTAGTCTGTAAGATGAGTCTGTGTGGTCTGATTGATTAGTGATTACGAGTCGCAATACTCCTAATATAGGCTCTCCATCACTTGGACAGAAATTCAATCCTGCGAAGGATTGCTCAGACATAGTGGACAACCTTCCAGACGAAAAAGATGGTTTCTATTGGATAAAACATGCGAAAGGAAATATATCAAAGGTGACAGTATTTAATTTCTTTCGACATGAATTTCGCTCCTTTAAACTGATCATGGGTTCATATGTAGGTAACTTAAAATGACCTACTAAGTTATTTTATAGAATTTCTGAGACTTTTTTTCATGATTTTCAAGTTTCAAGTCATATGCAAATGTCATCCATCGCATGATACCTTTTTAGAGAGTATAAATCGAATTTAATCTTCGTTATTTCAATCATAATTAGGGGTACTGTGACACTCACACAGACGGTGGTGGCTATTTGTTGATTGGAATGACACATAGTCCAGGCATATGGAACGTATCGTCCAATGAGAGTCCAGTTGACCCATTTGAAAATCCTCACTGGTCCAGCGAATTTGGCGACGTCGAACTGCAAGACTTCGCAGTTCAAATATCAAGAACGAAGGAATTCGATAATACGATAGCGCATTGGTGAGTAAAGTGTTGCACGACTTTATAGTGTACTGAGTGAGTATACCATAGTATTGCGAAACACACCATAGCAATCCATATCTTATCATTCAATGTAAAGTCACTAAAGTGTATACCATGTGATTCAGTCATCTTATCTGACCATTCATTCGTGTTAAGGTCTTACAGATTAAAAAAAAATCGCGCCCTTGGTAATCTGTTTGGTTTTGGAAAAAATGTTTGCACTGACCACCATTCCGGGATTGGAGACGTGAAATTTGTTAAAGATGTCTTGACTGACACCATCGTCACCACAAAATTCAATTGTTCAAAATTTGGACATGACAGTCGATTGAGCTGGGTAAATATTACGATAAACTTTATATGGTAATCCTGGTTTTGGTACAGTGTTAGCCAGTGACACAAAAACACATCAACTTAATGGAGTTTATAACGGACAGCATACTTCCTTATAGCCAAGGATGAATAAATGTCTTAAAAAGGAATGCCCGAATGGTTATGCATTTGAAGGTGAATTTCCTCACAGGTTGGATGACCATGGGTCTTTCAGGTATCGCCCAAGGCCCCTAATTACGACTAATGATCAGTATATTTTTCATTCTTCGTAATTTGGATGCTCGTAGATTACGAGAAATTACATTTTCAGTTACAGCGCAAACTCGGAGTATTCCGGTATCACCCACGACGCCACTGCTTTTGTTGGTTGCCACTCTCGCAAGGTTTGCTTAAAATTGCATTTATACTACGAATAATTTCTCATGTAGCTCCCAATGGACGATCAATTTTTAATGACATTTTTCTTATATTCTATAACAACTCCAACTTACTTGCTAAGAACAATTTTGTGTCAGATTTTTCTATGGCAAATTCACTTGCTAAAAATATGGTCCTGTAATGTAGTTTCTTTTCATAAGCTCGATAACCGAGGCTGTGAATAACCGATACACAGCCTTATGACCGAAACGATTGCTTGAGTTTAAATAAAACAGTTTTCACAAGATGCAAATATTATATTGGCATTATAACTCCTTAGCCTTCTCTTCTCAGCAAATCAGTTCTGACAAAGATCTTTTGGAATGCCTCTATTTAGTGTTGCGCATGTTTTGGTCCCAAAGGTGGAAGAGGTCATTATTGCGCTAACAGATGCGAAAAGAAGAATGGTGGGATTGTTTTAAGAGGTCGGATTCAGGTCTGGTATTGGATCAGAACACGAACGCCAGAACGCAAGTGGAAAAGATGTATGGAGTTCAAGATGAAGACACCAGCGGGGAAATTCGTAACATATCATATCGACAGACGTACTGGTGTTGCTCAGAAGGTATTGTGTTTCATGCCTCATACATCAGATGCTTTGGGCAAAAAAAAAGTAGTTTTTTTCTCTCCCAATGGTCAGACCTAGTGCCAGACATGGAAAGCTTTTCTCCTAATGGTCAGACATGGAAAGCTGTTGCATGCTTAGCATGCAGTACCCAGTAGTCGTACGTATAATGAATCTCCCTCTTTTTTAAATTATTCCTTTCTACCTCCCCACATATAACTCAAGGTATACAATTTCCTTGCCCAAAAACAGCTAGACAAAGGCGACATTCCGTTGAGTGCTGAGAGCTCTGTTGTAGGAATAATTATACCTGTCCATAAATACCAGAATATTAGGCCAGCATAAATGTCTTTTAGTTATCTGAAATTTGTTTCTACTCAGGGTACATGTTCAAAGCAATTTGATGCACTCTTGAATGAAGGTGTAAGTATACATATGATGCCTTCCATAATACATGCTTGCATGCATACACAATACCAAGTTCAAAAGATCAGCGTAGTTGAATTGGGATAACTGTTAATTTTTACCGGCAGACAATTTTGGTAAACGACAAAGAAAGTCTTAACAATCTTCCACCAGTGCCAGGAATGATTTCATTTCGGAAGGACAACGATAAACTTTACGTGAACAAAGAGGATGGATGGGATGAAATAGGAAGCGAAGAAGCGGTAAGTTTGGTTAGGATTGTCCTGCAGCTACTATGTGGTGAGACGTTTCAATAAAGGAAAGCTTTTGCGCCATCAGATGATTAAGCGAGTTCGTATAAATGTTGTTAATATTACATATAATACTCAGACTTATACAACTATACCTATTAAAACGAGATATTAGTCTCTGGAAGTTCGTTTTTCTGGTTTCGTTTATGAATATAGTTGTCACTATATAGTTGTCTTATCCAGTATATATCAAATCAGTACAGATACACTCGATCAAGTCAACTGGTGTTTTCTTGTAGCTATTATTATAATATTAAATCCTTTTCACGTTTCTAGACTAAAAATTTAACAGCAAAAATTTTCCAGCGAGATTTTCGTGTTCGAAAACTGATGAAAAATCTAAATACAAGCCTGCGAACACTCTTTAACAAAAACTCTCAACAAGACTCCCAAACCAAACGCCTGAAGACGAGCATAAATACAACCTTCAAGAGATTTAGCGACAAAAATTCACGGCAAGATGCACTAGTTCAAAGCCTGGTAGCAAATCTGAGTTTAAGTTTGCGCTTCCTCAACAATACGAATTCTCAACAAGACTTTAAAGCTCAACGTCTGGAGACGAGATTTGGTGAGAAACATTCTGAGCAAGATGCACGAGTTCAAAATCTCGAGAGAAATATAACTTTGACGTGGAAAAGTATGGAAGACAAGTTGAAAAAAATTGAAGAAAAAATGAGCGGTAAGATAATGTCTTTACAAATAAAACCGGAAACCACACGTTTATGCAAAAGATTCTAATATCTCTGAAATGTACAGAAAATCTGAAATGTTCCGATAATGAAAATAATCAATCAACTGGACCACAATTATATTATTGTTCTGTCCACTGCATTTTTTAGTCATCTTGCGAGCATCTTGTAAAGATATCTTGGCAAGAAATAAATTCACAGCATCAGGAGTCTACTGGATCCAGCCTGCAGCCAACAAGCAATTGCAAGTGTACTGTGACATGAAAACCCACCGGGGAGGCTGGACCTTGGTTTACAACTACGGCTTTACAAATTACACTGATTTTAAATCGAGCGAGAATGCCGTAACCCCCCGTCCAAACTGGCCTGAGAATAGTGCCAACACTCCAATCTCAACCACTCCCCCGCTCAGCGAGTCACTGCATAGCCTCGGGGCCGTAGACTGGAAACTTTGGAAGAATATTGGTCGAGAGATAATGATTAAGTCAAATATCAATGATTGGATTGTATGTAAACCACATGGTCATTATGGTGGGAGTATGGTCATAAGGAAAGAAGGTTCGATCAGATGCCGAAATATCGAGAGTGTGGCCACCGCCTGTCGTAATCGTGCACCGGATAATATTCTCTGGCGCTCCGAAGGGCCGGCTCTTTGCGCTTCCTCCTTGCGGTATTATTTTTTTGATGGAGACACGCATAATAGCTGGCCAACACATGATCCCTGCGGGCGAACACGCCTAAACCAAAAGCAAGGAGTCTCCAATCCGGGTGGACAAATCTATATTCGATAGAAGCTACCACACCTTCGTTCCTGCATGCATAGTAGCATAATTTTGACTTCTAAAATGTGTTTAACAATGACTCACAGAAGGGAATGGTTGTTTTAGTATAATTAGAGTTGTTTTTTTAAAAAAACATATTTGTTGTAAAAAATGCAATTTAAACCAACGTGAACAAATATCTTAAACAAATAATTTTTCCGACGATTTAAATAAAATAATGTTTTAAAGCAGATAAAGTTGAGTACCGTTTTTAACATATTTGATAAAATCTCCGAAATTCAAAATTGTACCATAGACAACACCTTTTGGTTAGGTCATTCGAGGTTATTTCAGGGTCTGTTTGATTTTCGATTCTCGATGTCTTTGTCGTTAGTGGGGGGGGGGGGATGTGAACTTTTGAACTTCAGCCGAGCCTCTCTCTCCGCCCGGGGGGTGTCGCTAGGCCTCTCGAAATTCTGAGCTAAAGTGAGGTCAATCAAGTATAAGCGCTCCGTACATTAAACATTTGGGTCAGACAAGGCCTGGTTTATTCCTGTATTGTAATCACGGCTTTACAATCGTAACTCGTTAGCCTCAATATACAATGCATTACAGCATGTTAACGTTTGATCTCGTTTATCTCGGAGGAATGTATGTAATTCGGAAATACACAACACTGAAATCACACATCGAACAGAATTAATCTAAATACGATTATACACTTACATGAAACGGTGAACGTTTGATATCTCTTGATCTTGACTCAGACCGCGTTTACTGAATAACATTCACTGCCCAGACAAGGCGACGATGGTGCGATGCTATATTGCTCCTTCTTGGTTCTATTCGCTACTTCATTACTCGCTGCTCTACATATTCATGCAACTTTGTTTGTTCAAATAACACCTTCCTTTCGAAGCGAGAGAGAACGAGGGATGTTTGTAAAGTTCAATGCGTGAAGCATAAATTCGCATATGGTGAACTTAAGGCCGTTTTTCACCTCAACCGTATCGTATCGAAAGGTAGCGAATCTTGTTGTTATGGAGACATTAGTTCTGGTCGAATACGTCGGAAACAAAGAAATACGTTACGTTACGATACGATACGGTTGAAGTGGAAAACAGCCCTAAGGCCTAGGTTATACGTCGCTTTTTGGTCGCGTCGAATGCAATTCAAACAATATAGATAATGAGATGGCAATAAGGTTTAATGAGGTGTACCATCTCATTATCTATTGTTTGAATTGCTTTCAACGCGACGAAAATGCGATGTTTAACCTAGGCCTTAGATAGCTATATCTGTCTATAAAACCATGCACACCGGGCATTGTTAATAAAAAGCTATAAAACAGCCATGGGTTTAATAAAATAGCCGAATCATCGTCAGTGCCGCATGGAAATAATTAGAGCTAGGGGCCAGTTTACATGGAGCGAGTTGTCCCGGCTAGGCCAGGTAAAAAGTGCATCACATCAGTGTTTTATTATAATTATGAAATTTTTACTTCGTCTAGCCAGGCTAACTCGCTTCATTTAAACAAGCCCTATGGGAAGAAGACATAGGAAGTAACAAAAAGACATGGGACATAAAACACAAACGCTCTCGATGAAACGTCGCATTTTGGTCGCGTCGAATGCAATTCTAACAATAGATAATATGGTAATGCTATGAGGTTCATCATTCGGCCTAATCGTGGCCTAATCGTGTTCTGTTGAACACAATAATGGAAAGGATATAATGGTCTACGCAATTAAAGTTATTTGTGTACCTCTGAATTGTTCTGGCGCCTGGCGGATAGCAAAGTCAACTAATAAAACGTGATATAAAGTTTAGCATAGCCAAACACTATGCCCGTATAAATCAATGCATTTACTTTATTTGCAATAAAAAATGAATTACAATATCACTGAATATAACAAGATAAAATTACTTTTATTGGGAATTATGATTGTTGGAATAACCCAAAGTAAGGTCTAGATTAGACGTCGCATTTTAGTCGAATTTAACTCGTCGCATTTAAATGCAGCCTATTCATCCAGGGTATTCATATCTGGGGGAGGTGAGATTTTGTCGCAAGAAGGTACCACCCAAAGGGATCCTCTAGCTATGTCCTGGTACTCAATTAACACAGCTATAATGATTCAAAGTTTGAGATTGAACATACCAGAAATCAAACAAGTATGGCTGGCCGATGAGTCAGCGGGAGGAGGAAGATTGACACATTTATATAATTGGTATAAGCATTTGGAAGAGGAAGGAAAGAAATACGGCTCTCTATAGTAAATGGTCCAAAGTGTTGGCTGATAGTGAAGACGCAAGAACTGGCCAAAGAAGCAGAGCAGATCTTTGGAGTAGAAGTTAAAATTACAACAGAAGGAAAACGCCATTTGGGTGCTGTTATAGGATCAAAAGAATATAAAGATGAGTATTGTAAAGAAAAAATTCAAGGATGGGTAAGATATCTCATCACTCACGGAAATCGCGAAAAGCCAACCTCATGCAGCCTACATTGCCCTTACGAAAGCATACAAATCAAAATTTACCTACTTCATGCGAACAATTGAGGCCTTCGAAGAGTACGTAGAACCGATACATGAAACATTGAATGACATTCTCTTACCACAATTTTTTGGTCAAGAAGAACCCCTTGCGAGTGAACTTCGTGAACTTGTGACCCTAACGCCAGCTCAAGGGGGTTTAGGCGTACCGAATTTGAGAATAGAAGCTCCTTTGCAATATGCAGCCTCAAAATTATTTAGTAATCAACATGTAAATTCAATTAAACGGCAGAGTGAGGCTCTGGAACCGATAGAGCAGTCTATAGATGATCTGAAGCGAATGCAGCAAGCAAACAAAGCGCATATTGTTAAGTCAAGAATGGATAACATTGATGCAACACTTTCTCCAGACCTACTGTTCTTGGTAAAGCAATCCCGAGACAAAGGAGCGAGTGGCTAAATGCGATTCCACTCAAAGATCAAGGTCTAGCCCTCAATAAGCAAGAATTCAGAGACTCGTTACGAATGAGATACAATTTAACTTTGAACGATTTACCAAGTCATTGTGCGTGTGGAGATCGCTTTAACATCAATCATGCCCTCTCTTGTAAGAAAGGTGGGTTCGTGGCACAAAGGCACGATGGAATCCGTAATTTGCTAACAGCGCAACTGGATAAAGTGTGTAAGAATGTGGAATTTGAGCCTCATCTTCAACCCCTTGACAATGAGAGATTTGACCTGAGATCGGCCAATATAAGTCCCGAAGCGAAATTGGACATGAAGGCGGACGGTTTCTGGCTACGTGGAGCTACTGCATTTTTTGACGTAAGAGTAACGCATGTAAACTCCCGATGTAATCAAGGCCGGCCAACCCAGAACATTTTTAAGGAACACGAGAACGAAAAGAAGAGAAAATACCAACAGAGAGTTTTAGATGTTGAAATGGGCTCCTTTACCCCACTTGTTTTCGGAACCAATGGCGGAATGGGGTCTGAATGCCACAAGTTTCTTACTCAGCTGGCGCAGAAATTAGCAGAAAGAGACCATGAACGTTATGCAGATGTCATAGCTTGGTTGAGAACCAGAATCTCTTTCGAAATTCTAAGATCGGTACATGCGAGTGTAAGGGGATCTAGATCACCTTTCTATAGAAAAGATCTTGAAGTGGTAGACGATTTGGACTAAATGTTAAGATTGCAGAGGTTTTTTAAAGTTTTTTAGATTTTAACTTTACGTGCGAAGTACTCCTTTTCTATAAAAATTAGGAAGAACAACAATCATTATGACTTTCGAAGAGTTTAAACAGTCCATTTGAAAATGCATGGTGATTAGAATAGTTAATTTTGATCTAGTTTTATTTAGAATTCTTTTAAATATGTATATAGTTAATTTTATCATAAATTACATTAAAGTTTTATTAAGTTTTGTGCGACGTAAATGCGAGTTCGACGTGCTCAGTTTAGACGTCGAATTTATTTGTCGCATTTATTAACAGTAATTTACACAAGCCATATGGCGGCTTTTACAAAGTCAAGCAAATTTTGAAAATAAGAAGAGAAAGACGCCAGAAGCAAATGCGAATATTGCCCAGTATAAAAAAAAGGAACAAGATTCTTCAGGTATTGTTTGCCATTACTCACAATTATGTTCATTTAGCCCACAAAGCCTCGAATTCGTCATTGTCGCCGTCTCGAAAGAACCAAAAAATGGTGGAATTGGTGGAATTTTGTATGGGCAAACTATTCCGCTGAAAGTCGGTTTAATCGTTATCACGATTTGCAAAGTTCAGAACCATTTGACAAAAGCTACCATAATGTAGCAAGCCTGTAGATTGGCAATGGGAATAGAGTATCTAACCATTTTCCAAAACCTTTATCTTCCATGGATCGCTGTATGCCGATTTTGTTTGGATAGTCAGCGCCACTTTCTTGCATGTACCAAAACACCATTTAAACTTGTTCCGGACCTGTTTGATGTTGAATGGAAATAAGGCCTGTCTCTCCTTTACCTTTTGCAAAACGATCCGATAAACATCGGTGTTCTTTGCCGTCTTGATATTTGTAAATATTAGCTTTCGCTTAAACTGTTCGCTGTTGATAATGATGTCATCCATGTCATCCAAATGTTCAGATGTCCACATTGGTCTTCTCCTGTTATTGATCTTTCCACTTTCACCCGTCAATTTGTTTGATCGGTTGTTGTTTTGGTGTGAAAAAGCAATCGTTGCAGTAAGATACGCAAGCATGTTTAATCCAATCGTCAGTTTCTTCGTCTAGTTCTGGCACAGAACACTCTGAACGGTTACAGACTACGTCCAACAATCAATACCTCTGTATTTTGTAGCTAGGCTACAGAATTTACAAAATTCGTCTTTGCTCACAATGTTAAGTTTATGCCGTTGTAAGCAAAATACGTGTGTAAGCATTTCCACATACATTTCCACATACAAGCAAGTTCTATCCCCTTGGGCACAGAGATCACAAAAAACAATACGCAAAAGCCCTAAAAACTTCATCTGAACGCATAACTTAAGCTTCGTGGAGTCCACGAAGCAACAATGATTGGATCATAATGGATAATGTGGTACAACAAACAAATGTACGCATTTTATACTAGTCAGTTTTATTTGTCGTCTAAACTGGTGTCCCGCTTAGGTCGAATTATGCGACAGAGCTTGTCGCAAAATTCGACAGCGTCGAATTTAATGTGCCGCGTCGAATAAAAACAGTTTAGACGTCGCATTCCCGTCGAAAAAAAGGCGTCGTACTTCAGTGCATTAAATGCGCGACGAGTTAATTTCGACTAAAATGCGACGTCTAATCTAGGCCTAAAACAATTTAGACGAGAGTAAGACGTCGTTGCTTATTTATAAACTTACTTTTTACTTTACTGTAAATTTACTTTTAGAAGGAATTTTTACGATACGTGGCAATTCCGCTTTCTCAACCATCCGTTCGTGGCGGTGAAAATATCATGTTTGTTATGCAATATAAACCTTATCCGTTGCGATATTCAAAGTAACACCATTTCCAATTATGTCCAGAAAATCAATGGTTTTTTTTCAAAGAGCGTGCTACCTCCTCCTGGTGCAGTCCATTGACCTTCACCCAAATTCAAGACTTCTTTCTTCTACATGCAAACTCCTGTAGATATTTATAGGATGAATTCCGGATGATTTTGCTTTCGGTATTGTTATCTATATAGATTATGCAAAAGGCTTTGCTTCCGTTTCATTAGAGTTCACGTTAACGTTCAAGTCCTTCTCTGCCTTCAAGTTAGCTTCGCCCCTTCGCCACATTTTCAATATAAATTAAATAATATACAATACCGGAAGATTGAAAACTTAATTTTAAAAGTGTTTTTCAGTTATTTGATACCGCGAAATTGCGAGATTCCATAACATAGTCTATGAATAATTAACTAAAATTTGCTGGCGTCTCAAAAATTTTTGAAGCGGGTAGTTAGTAGGGCAGGGCTGGATCCGCCGACACCGCGGAAATTGGTATAGGCTTAGCCGCAATTCTCGATACTTAGACTTCAAACTTGGTGAGGAAAAAGATTTATAAATATTCAAGAAAATATGTCTTGCACAAAAGATTTGAAGCTTGCTCTCGGTAAAAACGAATCGTCTGAATTAATAACCTTGTGTATACTTTAAGCCTCAAAATGGCCATTTCACAGCGGTCAGATGTGTATGATGAGCTGTCAAAAGATTGCAGAATGCGTATTCAGAAGAACTTTTTTAAGATATTCAAAAGGTTTCTCTTTGATAGGGCGATACAGAAATGCACAATTGTGAACCAGCGATTAGATTTTCGGGTTGAAACGTCTTAAACACCAATTTCTGCGGTGTCGGATCCGCCCCTGCCGCGGTAAATAGAATATGTATGCTGTGTCGTGTAGCTTCGATCGAGGACACAGAATATGCGTGAAGTGTCGTTTAGCTTCGATCGAATACGCTTAAAAATCGTACATGGTACGCATAATAAAACGCACTATTAATACGCTTTTTGTTAACGTATGTGTCGTATGTCGGAAAAAAGAAGTTCGTGTTATTGATATTCTTAATATTTTCGTTTCATTCTATCCTATCGTATAATTACTTTCAACAATTTTGAATGCGAACCACTTCTAGAAAAGCGCCAAGAGCGATTCATTCTTCTTCATCATTAAATGCCGCAAAACCAAATAAATCACGGATTGACATGGTCAACGACTATTACCCTGTTGTGGATTTTAGATTCGTTTATCCCGACATTTCGCCGAAAGTTGACGTAACGCGGAACATATTTATGATAATATTAGTTAGTCAATTCTGCCGCAAAGGGGATCAAGTACCGTCAACGTCGCGAAGCTATCCGTCAAACCTAGGGAAGTACGGGTAATTGCGAACAACTTAAAGCATTGGGAGATGGAAGACTGAAAGACCTAAGATGGTTGTTGGTGTTTGTTCTTGGAAAAGCAGGACCAGGAACACGTGACGATGAATTAAATGAAGCTGAAGCCAGACGGTACAATGATATGTTGATAGGCAATATCACTGACAACTACATTAATAACATTATCAAATTCTACATGGGTCATCTTTGGGCGAACAAATTTGATGTAAAATATACCATGAAAACAGACGATGATGTTTATGTGCGTATACTTCGCGTGTTGGAGTATCTTGTGAATGCTAAACTTCCAAGACCCTTCTACGGAGGTTCTTCTCTGGCACCCAGTCCTGTAAGTCGTAGAGTTGGTGTAAAATGGGCAATTAGTTACAAGTACTATCGAGAAGCACGATTCCCAACGTTTAATCTTGGGGCATTTTCTATCTTATCCACTGATCTTATAAACAAATTATCTGACTATGTCTATATACGAAAACCATTCCACACAGATGATGCGTACGTTGGTGTTGCCATGCGAGATTTGGGAGTAAAGCCAACTAACATTTCTTCGTTTCATGTAATAAATTTAAATAGAATGCGAAGGTATATAGGATCTTTCAAAGACTGTGAGATCTTCAGTTGGAATGCTTTCGGGCATTCTTTGGATCCACGATCAATTAAAGCACTTCATCTTCGCGTGCAGACTCTTGTGTGTAAGAATACCACTTTGGATATTGAGGATCATCGTTGCAGAAAATCTGCAGTTAAAACAACGACATAAACAAGAAGTCGGTTTCGATAATTTTCTTGTTCCTCGAGAAACGAGACGGGTTTGCATTGAATTATGATATTGAAATAGGAATGAATACAAATTAACTTGTTGCATTTGACTTTCGTTCGACATTATATACTCTAATACTTCTGTCCTTAACTCTTATACACACTAAATCTAAAGCACAAATTCTCTCTTTCTTTTTTTTGTTTATATATACATAACATTTAATTTAGAAACATGCATGTTTTCATGATAGATAATATTATGCATAATGCGTGGAAATCGAGCTATAATCGATTTTTTGAAGGATATCTACAACCGTGATGCCCGACATATAGAGTGGTCATTACAGTCAAAAGTTAAGCTTTATAGTTGAATCTTTATAAAGGGAAATTTTACTTCTTACATTAATTTTTATTAATTGTAACCAGTAGGATGCTATACATGCAATAATGCATAAAGCTTTTAGTCCGCATGTTAATTGTCTTTACGATGTTAAATATGATGTTGAGATCTTTCATGTTACTGATGAACGCTGCGTTTCGATTAACAATTAATTGCCTAAAAGAAGAGGTATATAATTATATAATAGCCACAAAATTACAAAATTTTCCATTTCGAATGAGAATGCACAAAGCTCTGGTAACAGGACTTTTAAAAGATCAATTTTTCTTTCAATTTTGAATGAGAATTCAAAAAGGTCTATAGTATATGCTAGTCCTATTTTAAAAGTCCTATTATATGGAGTATGACTTTTAAAACTTCTCCAACGATTGAAACCCTTTTCGGAAATTAACAGATTTATTTCAAGATAATTGGTATACCTTATACAGCTTTATTTAGTATATAGTTGCTGTTATCAGGTCATGACTAGTAACTTTCATAAAATCAGTTCCCTATGAAATCTGCGATGCGAGAAATTTCTGACATCAAATGCACTTCATGCATGCATGCAATCTGCAAAATATATCCGACTTGAAACCCAAAAGCTTGATGACGTTGGCCTTTCCATTCTAACAGAGTGAAATAGATGTCCTTAGATATATTTAACGAAGACATATAGAATTTAACAAAAGCCATTTCGGCAATTATTGACTGTATCGAATCGCTATTGAATCGCAGCGGGTTTCCACGCCGAACTGTCTGCCTCCCACCCAAAGAGCTTTTATTATAGTATAGCTTTGTTGACGGACTTCAAACATCACTTACGATTTATATCGGCTGCACTGAATGAGGAAAATTCTTTTTAAAAAGTTCTATTAAAGCGTCCTAATTTTATATATATATATATATATATATATATATATATATATATATATATATATATATATATATATATAACAATTATAAATACAATTCTTTCAATTAGTTGCTACTTTAAGTTTCATGCACTTAAGCAATCATCAGGCAACGTACTAAATACGTTCTATCAGTACGTTGCCTGATGATTGCTTAAGTGCATGAAACTTAAAGTAGCAACTAATTGAAAGATATATATATTTATATATATATATATATATATATATATATATATATATATATATATATATATATATATATATAATAAAATCAATGAAATATTACAAAATTTTGAATATATTTTTCGCTACACTCTGTGTTTCACGTTTCTTCTGAAACGATCATCAGGCGAAGGCTATAACCACAAGTGAACACATGGCTTAATTATGAGCAAAACGTACAAATATATCAACATTTGCAGAAGTAACTGCATAACAACATGTAAAAGGACGAAACTCCGCATTGTCAATAACAACTTAAGTAAAATCACAGTCGTTCCCAACTTGGCCTAGCTCAGACGGTAGAGCATCGTTCTAGAAATGCGAAGGTCGCGGGTTCGATTCCCACCGCGGTCAAGTGGAATTTTCTGCTTGCCCGGTTGGTCATACTTGCGTAGAAGAACAAATACACCTTATATATATATATATAATTATATATATATATATATATATATATATATATATATATATAGTGGATCTAGGAAATGAAAGGTTGTCCGAAAATATATACATATATACAAATAGTTGTGACATGTGACCTAGTATTTCCATCACGTGTCGCACTTAATTACGCATGCAAACGCTGCGAACGCTTCGTTAAATCCATGGCCGGCAAAGCGTACACAATGTGACAACAGGCTATTAGTAAAATATACCTTCATTTATTTTATCTGAGAGCCCGTTTATCACCGAATGTCAGCGTTTTCTAATTGATCAGCGATTTCCCTAAGGTATATAGCTCTGGATGTCTGAAATTATTTCACATATTGCCAGTTCCTCATGCTGGTAAAGTGTTGTGCTACAAAGAGGCCTGCCAAACTTATGGGGAGACGTAACGTTACCAGTATTAATAAACAGGTTGAAAACGCGATCTACTGTCCTTGGCGAAACAAACAAATCGACACCCACTCTGGTTAAAGACCTGTTATAAAATAATTTCTGCCACACAATCCTCCATCTTATATCGTCTGAATAGGGCTTAGGCGTTTTACAACAAAAATATCCCAACTAAGCAATAGCCTTGAAGCAATTTTGCAGCGTTTGCATACGTAATTAGATATGACACGTGATGGAAATATGTGGTCACATGTCACAACTATTTGTATATATGTATATACTTTCGGACAACCTTTCCTAGATCCACTATATATATATATATATATTGTAATACCACTTTGAATATTGCGGATCATCGTTGCAGAAAATCCGCAGTTAAAATAACGACATGAACAAGAGGACGGTTTTGATAATTTCCTTGTTCCTCGAGAAACGAGACGGGTTCGCATTGAATTGTGATATTGAAATATGAATGCATATAAATTGACTTGTTGCATTTGACTTTCGTTCGACAGTATATACTATAATACTTCAATCGTTGCCCTTAACTCTTATACACACTAAATCGAAAGCACGAATTCTCTCTTTCGTTTTACATAATTATTTGATTTAGAAACATGCACGTTTTCATGATAGATAAAGCATAATGCGTGGAAATCGAGGTTGCCAATTTTTTGAAGGATATCTACATGCAGCATATGATGCCCGACATATATAGACGAGTCATTAGAGCCAAAAGTTAAGGTTAAGAGTTTAATCTTTACAAAGGGGAATTTTACTTGTTACATCAATTTTTATTCATTGCATGTATACAGTAGGACGCTATACAGCAATAAAGCTTTTTAGTCCGCATCTTGTCTTTACGATATCAGTTATCATGTTAAGATCTTTTATGTAATGTGATTTATTTACGCATATAGATATATTGCCAGCCATGAATTTTGCATACCCTTTCCGCAGCTCAGTTTTCTGAGCATAATAAAGACACATTAAATTTTACGCCGTTTTGGGATAATTTTGGCTAGGAGTAATGGTTCTCCTAGCCGCTTTATTTCTGTTAAACAAAACGATATTTATTAATACATTGCATTAAAATTCCAAATATTTACGCTCAGAAAAGGGTGGAGGCAAATTACCGCCAGCACCTGTAGATACGGCCTACGACCATCACTGATTAAGATATAACGTTCCTTCCTCTATATATATATATCAGTTACTGTAAATCGTCCAATGTACATAATTTTTAGCGGAGGCTTTGGGGAGGAGGTGGGTTCAACTTTAAAGGAGCTCTGTCTTTTGCGATGTCACGCTTAAACTGACCGTTTGTGGTTTGGGTATTCGGTCTTTGTTAGTTTTCGATTTGCTGCTGGCCATTCACCACCTTTCCCATATTGCGTGCCATCCATTACCTGTCGGTCTTTTAGATTGGACGCAAAGCCCATAATATAAGATTTTTAATTATCGTCGGCAAGGCGTATCCCCTTGGAGGTACACCTTGCCTTAGTAGTCTATTTATAAAATCACATTACATAAATTTCTTATTTCCTTCGTAAATATTTTGTTTTATGTAATGTGATTTATTTACGCATATAGATATATTGCCAGCCATGAATTTTGCATACCCTTTCCGCAGCTCAGTTTTCTGAGCATAATAAAGACACATTAAATTTTACGCCGTTTTGGGATAATTTTGGCTAGGAGTAATGGTTCTCCTAGCCGCTTTATTTCTGTTAAACAAAACGATATTATTAATACATTGCATTAAAATTCCAAATATTTACGCTCAGAAAAGGGTGGAGGCAAATTACCGCCAAAACAACGAAGCGAAGCAAGTTGACCCCACCCCAAGGAAAGGGATGCATGCAGAAAGTTTCGTAATACAATAATACAGGATCAGCGGTCTGCGCGACCTGATAAACGAACATGGGCAAAAAGGCACTTACAAAGCCCGTGAAAAGGCATAGATTATCGCCCTTGCTGATAATCTACACTTAACTGATATTAGTTTAGCAGAGTCACAACATTACCGCGCCAAGAAGAAGCTTCTCCATCACCCTGTTATAAGCACTTTATTTCCTCCCCCAGAATGCAAACGATCGCCCTTGCTGACCATGTGCAAGCTGAGGAAGAAATAAAATAGCCGCGCAATTCGAGCAGAAAACTCCCCGCAGGTTTTCCGCTCGAAAATTCATCCAAACTATGTTGATAGGGAAAAAACGTATATATTTGAGGAATGCGTTCGATTTCCAACGCCCCATAGTTCGAATTTGGGCATCCGAGTGCCCGTGTTCAGCTGCGTGGGAGGCGGCGCCTATTCGAAATGAATGAGACTTATATTTGGAAGTATCGAGTCCACAGAAGCGGAAAGCCTTTTTAAGAAGATTGGCAAACTCGTCACATGAGACTGGAATGCCCAGTTGTGATAGAAAAATAGCTCCGGGCTGGGCGCCTCGCAAAATCATGTACTCCTCTAATAAGCGAACAGGACAGCATGCCGTTTGCCTGTGAATTTCCAAACTAAAAGGTCTACTGTTATAATTGTGCTTGAAATCCTCGAAAGTCAACCTTATTCCTGCAACCCGGCCATCATCGGAAGATAGTTTGGAGAGTTGTCGCAATTGAAGGGGTTGGCTATTTGACTTCTTAGTTATTTCTCCAATTCTCAGGAACGCGAAAAATGCTAAAGAGCACATTGCCCGGAATTGACATATTTGGTACGGTGACCCAGCAATATGAGGCGCAGCCTCAATAAGACGATTGAGAATT